TCAACTGCTATGCCCACCTCTATCCCTGAAACTTCTTTCTTTTTTATGCTTTTCTATGCTCACCCCCCCCCCCCCCAAGCTTGGCACTCACGTCAAACATTTGATGCTGTCTCCATCCAGAACTGCATGATGCATTTAGCACATGGGCAAAGTATTGACTCTGGCACTGAGATTGTAATTCAGCAAACACACATGCATTTGGGGGAGGGGGGGAGATTACTAGGAAATCTGAAAATGAGAGGATGTAAAAATGTACAAAGTAACCTAACCAAAGGAGCCTCTGTCACAAGACTTCAAACGCTGGCAGAAATCTTTTCAAGCTTTTTTGTGTAATAACCCCCAGCCCCAGCCCCGGACAGCAATATATATTTGTGAAGTTCAAATCTAACATGGAGGATGTTGTTTGTTAAACTGGAAACAAAGTGACAGACCACTTATAATGGCAGGCCTGTTTCCGATCCTTTGAATGAAATATGGTCATTATTTGTTAAGTGTCAGTTTGGGTTAGTTTTGTTTAGTTTCCGAGGGGAGGAGGGCAATACCTCACTTTAATACGCCCAAAAAGTTTGGGATCTTCTTGCTCAGGATTTACCTTTGATCTAAATTATATGCCTGCAAGATTGAACAATCATGCCCTCAAAGAAATGCCATATTGCTTTGTATACAAAAAGTGGTTTTCCTTTCATGTGTCGCATGCTGTTAATTATGGCCCAGATTCTGCTAGTTTTGCTCACAGCTCTTGATATGAATGTCCGATCACAAAATTTATCATTGCGAATCCAGAAAAAAACCACTCTTAAACATGTGATGAAGTAGAGGATGATGGATTTTGCTTTGGTAAAAAGGATGTCACAGAATGTAATTATTATCTGGTTCCAGATATACATTTTGCCAGATGGGAATACTCAAATGGTATGCTTCTCTGTGTCAGAAGGAGAAACAAGTTTCTTTACATATGCATTCAGGACCGGCTTGGATATTGGTGCTGTGGAGCACTTGGAATTTGATTTCCCAGGCATGCTGGCAGCAAGGGAAGGTGCAATTGAACCTTCTTGAAAGCATCTGTTGGTTGCTCTTCTTTTGCACTTAGCTTCAGATCACAATTCAAAGTACTGGTTTTAAACTACAAAACCCCACATGGTTCCAGCCCAGTTTACCTGTCCAAACATTTCTTCCCCTATAAACCATCAAGGACTTTAAGATCTTCCGGAGAGGTCCTGCTCTTGGTCCCACCACCTTTGCAGTCAAGCTTGGTGGGGACGAGAGACAGGGCCTTCTCTGTGGTGGCCCCCCAGCTACGGAACTCTCTCTGCAATGAGATTAGGTCTGCCCCCTCCCTCCTGACCTTCAGGAAGCAGCTGAAATCCTGGCTTTGGACTCAGGCATTCATAGATTGATGGATTGAACTAGCAAAGACTAAGAGTTATCGGACCACAATGTTTGGATTGAGTTGGATAATGTTTTTAACTTGGTGAGCTGTCTTTTATATGTATTTTATAACTTATTTATTATGTATGTTTTTAAAATGTTATTTATTGTGTAGTGTAAAGAACTCCTTACTTTAAGCAGCTAGAATATGGGCCTGGCGAAGCCCTGGTGGCCATCTTAGGATAGGGAAACAAGGAGACGCCATCTTAGTTAAGGGTTTTCTAGAGGGGGAGTGTCCTAATCCAGGAAGCAGAGATTAGACGGCCAGGATTGGTTAGAAAATAGGGGCGGAGCCTGGCATTCAAAAAGAAAAAAAATGTACCTTTTGAACTGAGGCTTGAGTTGGCAGTTGGAATTTGTCCATGGGGAGTTGGTCAGTTGGTGATAACAGTTGGTTGATAGGAGAGCTGGGTTAATCTTTTGAGGTATTCAAGAGCTAGAGAAATTAACTAGGAATACAGATAGTGGAATAAGACCTTGTTTGTGGTCTGTTCTTTGTCCCTGAGGAAGGCTAGGCCAAAGGCTATTGGCTAGGTTCAGAAAGAGGGAATTTTGTTTGGAATTATTATCAGCAAATAATTTCCTGAGATAATCTCCTGTTTTGTTAACATCAAGATTTGAACCCAGAACCCATCTAAGAATTGTACATCAAAAGTAATCAGAAGCTTATGTACTAGTAACTTACTGAAACCACTATGCATTTGTACCAGAAGAAGTTTAAGCCTGTTAATTAAATGCTTTGTTATTGTTAACACTTTATAACAGCCTCAGTGTGAACATCATTGTGATTTAAACCCTCTAAAGAAAACAAACACTACTGTAACACACAAAGGGTGTTACTAAGTATACTCTCCACATACAACTCCGGACCTCTCCGGAAGATCTTAAAGTCCTTGATGGTTTATAGGGGAAGATACGTTTGGACAGGTAAACTGGGCCAGAACCGTTTTATAGGTTTAAACCAGCACTTTGAATTATGATCTGAAGCTAAGTGCAAAAGGAGAGCAACCAACAGATGCTTTCAAGAAGGTTCAATTGCACCGGGATTGTGGAGCAGCTGGCTGAGTGTCAGCTGCATTAAGATCACTCTGACCAAAAGGTCATGAGTTTGAAGCCAGCCCGAATTGGAGTGGTTTCCAACCAATTGTGTAGCCTGTTGTCGACCTTTGCAACCCGAAAGACAGTTGCATCTGTCAAGTAGGAAAATTAGGTACCACGTTAAAGTGTGGGGAGGCTAAATTAACTAATTTATGAAGCCATAAAAAAAGACTCCAGCAAGCACTCCAGCAAAAAGCATGCGGGGAATGCGGAAGTACTCCATCAGTGTCGCAGATGGACGATGAAAGCGACAGCTCTCCTGGCAGTCAGAAAAAGTTAAATAACCTCTGTCTATGTCTGTATATGTTGTATGTCAAAATTGGCATTGAATGTTTGCCATATATGTGTACACTGTAATCCGCCCTGAGTCCCCTGCGGGGTGAGAAGGGCGGAATATAAAAGCTGTAAATAATAAATAAATAAATAAACTCAGTCTGAATACCAAACAAAAAAAGGTGGCAGCGAAAACAATTGAAGAAACAGTTTCAAGATCTCCCAGTTGCCTCTTTCACTATTTCAAAATCCGCTGTTCCTTTCCCTGCTAAGTTCCTTATAATTAGCGGCAATCAGCTGGTATAGTTTTCCCCAGATTCCTTATAACTGGTGGTACAGAGGTGCGATAACATTATATGTAGCATTGAATTTTTGCTATTGTTAGCCATTCTGAGTCCCTCCACGGAGGTAGAGAAGAACAGGAGATTCTAAATAAAGTTCTAAATAAATAATATAATATGCATTGTAAAAAGGCTTAAGCTCTGGATTAGGGATTGCCAAACTAAGCTCTCTAAGGTCATTTATTTGGCCCCTGCCCTAAACTTAGGACCTCATCACATTAGAAAATTTCACGTCCTAGGATGCTTCCAGGAGACTGGAAGGACAGAGCCTGACAGATCCTATCAGACAACGTAGGGCTACTTCTGTTGGAGCTCTGTGCTTCCAGTATTTTGGCAGCATCCTAGGAGGCATCCTGTGTTCTCGTTAACAAAAACAGGGTGAGCATGGGGGGAAGCTGGACAGTAATGCTTCCCCTGCTGGGATGGGAAAGGGGGTGATGTGGGTGATGTGGGACACAGGATTACTGTTTCCCCCACTGTCTGCTGGATTTGCCACGCTGTCTGATAAATCTCCCTGCTATCATCTGCACTTTGTGATGTAATGTGATGAGGTTCTTAGGGTTGCCTTAAGACTGAAACAACTTGAAGGCACACAACAACAATGATCCCATTTACCTTGCCAAAAGCAGTCCCACACTTCCCATGGAAATACTGGTAAGTTTATGTTGGTTAACATTGTTTGTCATTTTAAGTATAATATTGTTCTTTCACTTTTTTGCACTACAAATAATAATAATAATAATAATAATAATAATAATGTAATAATAATAATTTATTTATATCCCGCCACCATCTCCACAAGGGGAGTCAGGGCGGCTTACATGATGCCAAGCCCAACAAATACATCAGTACAACAACAAAGCAAGCAAACAATAAAACAATACAAATAATATAGCTAACATATAAGCAGTAGCACACAAGAAATTTAAAACAGTTGGCGGGCCAGATGCACTAAATTAAAGATTTTAAAAACACTGGGTGTGCACAGAGTAGGGTATGTCTAGACAGGAGATCAATCAGCGGGTAGTTAAAGTGCTTCAGAGGACAATTGTAGAACATTGGTCAGAACAGGGAATATTGTTTATTCAGGGAAGGTACATTGGAACAGCCATGTTTTTAAGCTCCTCCTATATATATGTAGTGTGCATAGTGTTCATATGAATTTGTTCATGTTTTTCTCAAATTATACTCCACCCCAACCGATCCCCAATGGTCTGGGGTTGGTAAACTGGCTCTCTGCTTCAAAATTTTGAGGACCCATGCTCTGGATGGTCCTAGTTAAATGATTTAATTTTAACTAGATCCAAACTGACCCCAAATTACATCAGTGAATACAATAGACCCCTAACCAAGTGGGGGAAGAGGATCATTATTGTCTCTACAAAGGAATGTATTAATGAATAAGCAGAGGTAATTTTCAATGGTAAGCAAACAGTATTTTGCCCCCCCCCTCCCAACCAATCACTGATATATATTTTCTGTTCATCATGGGAGTTCTGTGTGCCATATTTGGTTCAATTCCATCATTGGTGGAGTTCAGAATGCTCTTTGATTGTAGGTGAACGATACATCCCAGTAACTACAACTCGCATATGTCAAGGTCTATTTTCCCCCAAGAGCGCCTCAAGAGCGCCCCTGGGCAAAATCAACTATACTGCAAATGCTTACTTTGTGTAATGGTTGAGCCGCCCCTGTGAATAAGTAAACCTTTTTGCTCATACAGTTCAGGAATCATCTTCTCATCTTCAACTGCTTTTTTGATATTCTTTTGTTGAGAAATACGGCTGAGAAAATATTCCAGAGCATTTTTTATTTTCCACTGTGGTAACTCATCAGGATTTCACCCATAAATTATAACTGAAGTCAACTCATAAGTATCATTTCTTTATTAAAAGATCCAAAATTATTTTAAAACCCAAATTAAGGAGGTTGGAGAAGAACTATGCTTCTTGGAAAGTGATGCCACTTGAAAAACTAATGTCTGTAATTGAAAATGTGCACATTAATAAAATAAATCAGCAGAACTGAAGACCCATTTGGAAATGAGCACCATTCATTCAGACTTCAGCACTGGGCAAAAGTGTGTTCTTTGTGTGGAAAGATAAATGCAACAGATGAGCTTTACTGCTTTAGCACCACAAAAGAATGTCTTCAATTGTAGTGAAAAGCAAATACCTTCACGAGCAAACCTAATCTTAGCTAAATTAATCTTATCAGGATCTCTCATCATGAAAATTATGGAGCCCCCGGTGGTGCAGTGGGTTAAACCCCTGTGCCGGCAGGACTGAAGACCAACAGGTCGCAGGTTCGAATCCGGGGAGAGGCGGATGAGCTCCCTCTACCAGCTCCAGCTCCTCATGCGGGGACATGAGAGAAGCCTCCCACAAGGATTATAAAAACATCAAATCATCTGGGTGTCCCCTGGGCAACGTCCTTGCAGACGGCCAATTCTCTCACACCAGAAGCGACTTGCAGTTTCTCAAGTCGCTCCTGACACGACAAAAAAAAATTGTGAAAAATATCACCAAAATTTGTTTGAGCTCCTGGTTTATAAATAATCATAAGGCTACTTATTTTCTCAAGTCTTTGATTTTTAGCTTAAATGTTTTGAAAAGAAATGTGCTATCAAATGTAGCAAATGCTACCATTCTAAGTCCATTTTTCTACATTTTTGGATAGTCAACATTTCGTATTATTGTGACCATGGTAATAATCATGGTTTAAGGTTGGTGTATGATAAATCATACCAAAAAGTATTATGAAGAATACTATCCTATTTCCATTATTAGAATGTGAAAGGTGAAGAGATCATATGTTAGTAGGATGCAAAAAGGTTCTTTCTTATTGCAGATGGAAGCCAAATGCATTCACATGTGTTCATGCTGGGCGACCACTCCTGAGCGAAGCAGCTCCTGTAGGTCATCATCCTTGTACCCCAGTGTGCCCTTCAGTATCTCCAATGTGTGTTGACCAATAAGAGGAGGCGGCTTTGGCTCAGACACTTCAAACTGGCTGTACCTTACGGCTGGCCCTGTCAGAAAAGAAAACAGAAAAGTAAGAATTAATGTGCTTTGTTTCACATCCATTTGAAGCAACATAAGAAATGGTTGCTATATACAAAACAAATGTCACTGCCAGACACCATAAACCCTTACTCCTCTTGCTCATTACTGCATTGTGGTGGGCTGAAAGTTAAGATTTAGAGGATATTTGGTCATTATATGTAAAAGAATTTGTTGGAAAATGTTTCCAGCATCAGTGCTGAACACAAGGCTGATTCTAGCAGCTACTTTGTAAATATTAAAATTGAGTGTAGTAACCAGTGGATTTAAACAATGTGCATATGTTGACTCCACACACTTCATAACTAGGTGGAAAAAACATACTAAGTCACTGGAGACATGGCTGCATGAACCTAGTCATTGCTGCTTCAGACAGAAGAGTGAATTGATACACGTGTTATTTTTCCCTCAATAGTAATAATAATAATAATAATACTAATAATAATAATAATAATAATAACACTTTATTTATATTCCACCCTTCTCACCCCGAAGGAAACTCAGGGCAGATCACAGTACATAAATATGGCAAACATTCAATGCTGCTTTGAATAGACAGTACACAGACAGACAGAACAAAAGGAGGTGGATTGTTTCAGCTACATTTCTGAACATACATTTCTGAGCAGGATTACAGCCTATAGGTAGAAAGTTCATGCAGCACTACCATTTTAAAATACGCCACTTTCAATAGTTCACAGATCCACATGTGACTTGTTGAATAATCTATATAGATATAAATGCTCTTCGCATAATGAGTACCTTAAAAACAAAAGAACCAATGAACGAAATCACACCAAATTTGGCAACAAAACGTCTCACAACACAAGGAATGGCCATCACTCAAAAAATTATGATTTTGTCATTTGGGAGTTGTAGTTGCTGGGATTTATAGTTCACCTACAATCAAAGAGCATTCTGAACTCCATCAATGATGGAATTGAACCAAACTTGGCACACAGGACTCCCATGACCAACAGAAAATACTGGAAGGGTTTGGTGGGCATTGACCTTGAGTTTGGGAGTTGTAGTTCACCTACATCCAGAGAGCACTGTGGACTCAAACAATGATGGATCTGGACCAAACTTGGCACAAATACTCAAATGTGAAAACTGGTGGAGTTTGGGGAAAATAGACCTTGACATTTGGGAGTTGTAGTTACTGGGATTTATAGTTCACCTACAATCAAAGAGCATTCTGAACCCCACCAACGACAGAATTGGGTAAACTTCCCACACAGAACCCTCATGACCAACAGAAAATACTGTGTTTTCTGGTGGTCTTTGGACCCCTCTGACACCCCCTCATGACCCCCCCCCCGGGGTCCTGACCCCAGGTAGAAACTGCCTTAAGGCCATCCAGTCCAACCTTCTACCAGGCAAGAACACCATCAAAGCCCTCCAGACAGATGGCCATCTAACCTCTAAATCATAGAAAGATAGATAGATAGATAGATAGAGAGATAGATAGATAGATAGATAGATAGATAGATAGAGATAGGAGTCTTGACTTCCCAGGTTGAGAAATGCTGCCTTAAAGCCATCCACTCCAACTCCCTTCACCAGGGCAAGAAAACATAATCAAATCCCTCCTGACAAAGGGCCATCCAGCCATTCACACACACACACATGTATATGACAGATGCAGTATCATAGATTTGAAAAGATATATTCATGTTTATGTCAGTGCTAGAAAGTTGCTAGCAACCTCACAATACGTGTCATTCGCCTAATATTTCAACTCAAGCCAACTTTAATGAAGGATACTAGTATTTCCTTCTGAGAGAATACACAATCATTCACAAATGAGAAAGCACCTTCCCCTTGGTAAACAATGTCTTTTTGTTCGAGTGATCATTGAACATTATTAGCTCCAAGCCAGACCCATGAAACTATGGAAACATTGCCATAGTTCATGAGATGTACATCCAAGTTTGTTCTTTCTTCATTAGATCCAAATCTTTTCATCTATATTCAGAAAAAAAAGATGTTTAATCACAAAAGTGCTTGTGTCTGTTTACAGTGGAAAATGAATGGTCCTAGGTGACCATATATTGAAATGCTTTTATTCCTCTTCGATATTTGTTCAAAGACTTTTCCAAGTGAATGTACATTACAAAAATTCCATAAGGTTTTATCAGCTGCTACACAATCTTGCAATTAGTTTAAGGATTTGCAGAACTGGGATCACTAACAAAGCCATCCAGCCTTGGCTTTGGAAATAATTGTCGGTTTTTCTGTTTACAATTCTTACTTCCATTATTTCCAGCAGGAGTTCCAGAAGAACATTTTGTACGCGGATTATAAAACTGATATGGTAAAAGAACCAGAAAAATTAGGGGGGGGGGGGTATTGATTTTCCAGTATAAAATGATGAGATCTTCATTACATAGTCCATTATCGAGCATCTAGCTTTGGACTGGAGTATTAATTTTGTGTCCCTTTTTTATTTATTTATTTGGGGTAAATTTTTCCTATAACCCATTCTTTACTTCCTGTAACAGCATCTTAACAGATTAATAAGATGCCAGTTGTCATGTTATGCAGGCAAAAATAATATCTTGTGTGAAAACATTGTGATTGTTGTACAAAATATACTTTTTATTAAAAACACTAGCTGTCCCCTGCCACGCGTTGCTGTGGCCCAGTCTGGTGATCTGGAAAATAAAGTAATGAGAAAGTGTTGGTTTCTAATATATGTAATTCCTTTATGCTTGTGAGTAAACAGTATTTCTTGTTGTTTCTTTGTCAGTGTTGGTGTGGAGAGTGTCTGGTTTGCCTACTCTGGAATATGCAACATATCATAGTCCTTCTTTAAGGGTTTCTTTCAAATCTATGATAATATATCTGTGTGTGAGAGAGAGAATCATATCTATCTATCTATATTTATGACTGGGTGGCTCTTTGTCAGGAGGACTCTGATTACATTTTCTTGCCCTGGTGAAGAGAGTTGGACTGGATGGCCTTAAGTATTTTCTGTTGGTCATGGGGTTCTGTGTGGGAAGTTTGCCCCATTTCTGTCGTTTGTGGGTTTCAGAATGCTCTTTAATTGTAGTGAACTATAAATCCCAGTAACTACAAATCCCAAATGTCAAGGTCTATTTCCTCCAAACTCCATCTGTGTTCATATTTAGGCATATGGAATTTTTGTGTCAAGTTTGGTCCAGATCCAAACTTGACACAACTCCCAAACTCAAGGTCAATGCCTACCAAACCCTTCCAGTGTGTTCTATTGGTCATGGAAGTCCTGTATGCCATGTTTGGTTCAATTCCATCATTGGTGGAGTTCAGAATGCTCTTTGATTGTAGGTGAACTATAAATCCCAGTAAGTACAAATCCCAAATGTCAAGGTCTATTTCCTCCAAACTCCATCTGTGTTCATATTTGGGCATATGGAATATTCGTGCCAAGTTTGGTCCAGATCCATCATTGTTTGAGTCCACAGTGCTCTCTGGATGTGGGTGAACTATAATTCCCAACTCAAGGTCAATGTCCACCAAACCCTTCCAGTTTTTTCTGTTGGTCATGGGAGCCCTGTGTGCTAAGTTTGGCCCAATTCCATCATTGGTGGAGTTCAGAATGCTCTTTGATTGTAGGTAAACTATAAATCCCAGCAACGACAATTCCCAAATGACAAAATCAATTTTTTTTGAGTGGAGGACATAAATTGGACTGTTAGGTGTCTTGTGTCCAAATTTGGTGTCAATTCTCCCAGTGGTTTTTGAGTTCTGATGGTAGCACGAACTAACATTACATTTTTATTTATATAGATTTTTATAAACAAGGCCTAAGATGCTAAAAATAATCAAAATGAGCACAAAACTCTCATAATTTCACTCCGCTGGCAGAAAATCTTCTATATCTTTCATTCTCGTATGCAAGAACAAAACGAGCAAAGGTTATATTCTTCTTGGAAAGTTTCTTGCTCAGTTAGGAATGGGTTCCTCATGTCACTATATGCTTTATCCAACTTCAAAGCTTCTTCAAGCCCTGACTTAAAATCTTCTGCAGATGCCTTCCATGATTTTGTGGCCTAAAATCTGGTGCAAACATGAACAAGTTGCTGTGAGCTTTCTGGACTGTATGGCCATGTTCTGGAAGCACTCTCTCCTGATGTTTCACCAGGATAACATGGCCATACAGCCCAGAAAACCCACAGCAACCCAGTGTTTCCATCCATGAAAGCCTTCAACAACACAGGAACAGGTCAGCTCTTGTTAAAACAAAAACCCAGAAACGTTTCGGTGTATAGCAGTGGTTCTCAACCTGTGGGTCCCCAGATGTTTTGGCCTTCAACTCCCAGAAATCCTAACAGCTGGTAAACTGGCTGGGATTTCTGGGAGTTGTAGGTCAAAACAGCTGGGGACCCACAGGTTGAGAACCACTGGTGTATAGGTCCCATTATACAGATTGTGCCTTTTGCATGAGGAAAAGGCTATTGTGTATAAGAAACAATAAATTAAATTATTTAGGACAACTGTATCAAAATTTTCATGTGTGTGCATATCTTCCTCATGTTAACTTCTGCACATTGATATTTGTATTTTGACTTCTTTAGCAAGTTGCTGAGATACATGGTCCAGATTTCTCTTATCATCAAGGTTTCCTATGGCTCCAGATAAACTTTATATCAGTTAGTCTAAGAGTACAATATTGTCTCTGCATTTTCCCTAATACTTGAACTTTGTGTCATCATAATAAATTTTGTTTATTTGGCGCCTCTCTGACATAACATCCCAGGCGCCAAACAAAGTCATAAAGTTAAGATACAGAACACATTAAACACAAGATATAAAAAGCAGATAAGGCTCTTGAAGCATCGTTTTTCTGCACTGGATCCCAAGAGGATTAAAGGACCCTTTCTTTTTCAAAGGCTCTACAGCTCAGAACTTTTTACAGGAGATTTCTGAGATGAAAGTGAACAAAGGCAAAGCTAGAGACATGTACCAGCCATTGTTCAAACACGAA